ACCACAACCTGTTTGTAAACCATAAACTTAGAGTGCAAATGATATAAGCACTTCATTTTAGAATCCATTCACAAAACCCCTGACATGACAAAGGGCAGAAAATTTCAGAGCAGGAAAGTATTTTAGCAAAAGTGGCAATTTGTAAACATAAATGTGTATTTTAGAATAATAAAAATTCATAGTTTTAGAAAGAGGCATAGCTTCTAAAAATAAAGTGTTTATGGCTGTTAACTTTGAAGGAAGCCCTCAGATACTTTATCTTTACTTTCTGCACAATGTTTCCATGTGCTGCTTCTAATCAATTTTAGGCATAAAATTGCGTACCAAAGGTCAGACCCGACAAATCTTGTCATTATCAAGACAGCGTTTGTTGTTTCTTCAACTGCAACGACGCTTGTTTCACCAGCTTCTGTTGTTTTCTTGTTGCCTGGGCTTCCTGAATGGCACAACAAGTCCTCTGTAAAGCAACATTGAAAAAAGGAAAATTAAAGCGTGCAATCTGCAGTTTTCTTCCATAAGCTGCTACTAAAAACAGTTAATTCAACAAACTTTAAAACCTACCTACGCAGTAGCTAGTTTATGAGCCTTAAGTTAGATACATAGCTTCTAATTCACATGCATAATATTCAACCTAGAAAAAGCTTCAGTGATATCGTCAATCTACTCTGAACTTTCAAGTTGATGATGTTATTCACACTTAACTAGATAAACCTTCCTCAGGCAGCACCCCAATACAAGTGATCTAATTTTAAACAGACACACAAATGACAATTCCAATACTATATGCTCTGGAGGCTTTCGAAGTCGGGCCATTTAAAGATCCAGCATTAAACTCATGTCCAATCAGCCTACACAGCTGGGAACTACAGCTTATATTATTAACACACATGCACTGTCAAACAGCAGTTAGTATTTAAATAGTCATTTCACATAACAGACATTCAGTAACACAAATGTGTTAGAAGATACATGTGACAGCAGGCACTTCTGAAAATATTTACAGTGAAAAGCACTCAAACTGGATAGTTAACTCCACAAAAGGATAAAAGAACATAGAACCTAACAATAATTCTAAAATTAGAAACAACTGAACAAAGCAGTGCAACTAAACCAGTCATTTTTATTTCATTTCTGCATCCAAACAATCTAATAGTTAAAAAACCCCCATGTCTCAAATGTATAACATTAAACATATTGTACATTATGCATAAAATGTGTATAAATAATATTAACATAGTGATATATCTCTAATCTGAGAAAATTCATGTCAATGTGATACGCATAAATGCCTAGGGGAAAAAAACAATAAAGCCAACCAAACATACTGGGGTAGCTTGAATGGCCACTGATTTTGCGTGAGTAATTCCAGAACTTAGTAAAAGCTGAAGTGTTTGACATTGCTTGTGAGGCATTTTTTGTCCATTATTTCAACAAAAGTAAAATTCATTTATACAATAATGAATATTAAAATAAAGAATAAGTTAAGCTGGATGGACAAATACCGTGCATCAGGTGTACTTGAAGAATTTCAAACATTTATGGATTTCTGATAACTCACAGAGGCTGGGGAAAGATTCAGAGGAGTAAGGGACAACAAACCTAACCCCCTTGTTAGTTTCTTAGGGGCCTACTGTAGAATGGATCTCTGAACATTACCACCATTTTTACACGCTGAGTTTCAGCGACTGTTAACAAATCGTAACAAAAGATGATGAAAGAAAAAAAAAAAGAATATACCCTTGCTGTAGTTTCATCCTGAAGCTGAACTGTCCTTACACATTCATGACCTGTACTGTCCCTCCTTTGGAACATCCTTTGATCCTGTTGCAGAGGGGAACAAAAATGTACTTCAGGTCATTCACGAAACAAGAATGCAGAATCTGATACTTAAGTGGCTTGAATGTCAACTTCAGGTCAAATTTCTGTGTGGCATCTGTGAAACCCAACTCATACTTTCAAGAAAACTTAAGTAAATCTTGTCTCATAGTCAGCAGTTAGAACCATAAAGAAGTTAGGAGCACATTTGGACCTCTAAATAGTGTTAAATAAAAAAAGTTTGAAAGCTGTTCTTACCAAACCAGTTATTTTTAGAACATTTCCTTCATAGGAGGGACACCGTGTAAAGTCTTCAAATAAGTAATCCCACTCTGTTGTTAAATGGCCTAAGATTTCCACTTCTTTTACATATATCACTCTCCTGTTCAGAAGAAAAAAGTTGAATATTCAATTTCTCTGCGCAACTGGAACTTTGCCAGAAAAACAACACAAAATTAAGAAGAGAGATTTGTTTGAAATTTGTTGAATTTTCCATGTGGATTAGAAGTATCCACTCCCAGTCACAGTGGAACCATATTGCTGTAATATATAATCTCAGATGATCACTTCATCCCTAAGACTCAGAGATGATCTATGATAATACATAGTATTCACAGACTAATTAAATCGAAACCTACCCAGCCCTCCAAATCCAAACATTTTCCAACAATTGGATGCTAGAGGGTAATTCAAACCAGTTCCTCAGAGCCAGCCTCTACCAGATGAAGGTAGTCAAACCATTACATACTACCTACATAGTGACACAATTACTAAGGGACTGACAGATTATTCATCACCACAGTTCCTTGCCCTGATGTTGGCTGACACACCAAGGGAAAAAACAGGTGGCAGTTTTGAATCAAGTTAAATTAGAACTTTTATACACGTAAAGAATTGGGATAAGGAGAGAAGTGTATACTTATCTGAACCTGCAAACAAGTAAATCACCTCACTTTCATTAACAGTCTTGATCAGTATCTTGAAAAAGCTTGTTCAGCTGCAGTATGAGTTTTGAGGTGTTTTAGTCATTATAAAACAAACATGGTGGGATGCCTCCCAGAGCGTCATTAAGGATAAGCCTAAGCCTATCTCAAACATTCAGGCAGGGTGGAAAATGGTGACACTTGGGATATGGAGATCATAATCTATGGGTTCCTCTTCATTATCTCAATGTATTTAGAAGTTTGAGTTCTCAAACTGCATGTCCAAGACTAGAACATCTTGCATTCTAAAAACTCTAATGAGTTTAATATTCATTGTCATACTCATCAAAAACTTAAGACTCCATTTAAAGTATCCTTTAATTAACATGACTGTAACCATGTGCATTATCAAAATATTCGTTTGACTGCAAACACTTGCCACAAGCTAATTTGAAATGTTAGAAACAAAGAGGAAAAATAAGAATATTTCCTTCCAGTACGATGAAAAGATCACTGACCTCAGAGTACACTGTCTTCCTAAATTAGTATCTGGCATTGACATCATTACTGTATTGCATTTTCCATAAAGATAACAAAATAAATTGTTTTTTTAAAAAAAAAAAGAAAATAGATAAGGAAAGTACATATACAGAGAACAGCAATCAGGTTAGACTTAGCCAAATCCCCAAGTTGAAACCAAGACAAGTCCTTATAAAGCATTCATAACTGAATACCTATTGGTAACAATAAGGTTTGCTCTTCTGCCTCTTGGAAGTGCACAGTGATATTGATAGCTCTCGTTTTCCAGCTTTCTGATGTGCAATTTCTGAAATAGAAAATAATTTTGGGGCTATAAAAACAAAATTCAAAGCAGTGTTTTAAATTCAAAACCTTTTAAAAAGTTACCTCATTGAACTAGTTCTTTAAAGGCAGGTTCTCAGAGTGTTCTCACTCCTGAATGCGAGGCACTGTTCCACTCAAGAGGTGGAACACAGACACTGCAGGATCAGACTATTTCTTCAGCTTTGATTTCCTTTCTGTGCTAATAATTGTTTAGAAATACTCATTCTCTTACACCCCACACTGCAGACCGTTCATTTTACAGCTGTTACCGTGGAATTCAGCCTCTCTGTAAGAGCAAATTTCTCAAGTTGTTTCTGACAAACTAGTGAGAACAAATTAAGGAGGGAAGACTAAAAATTCAGAATGTTTTTAGTAATTCCTTATAAAGATATCCTTGTAAAGATACATTTCCTTCTGCATTTCCATAGCTGGATCTATAAAACTGATAAGATGACAAGAGAAGCTAAACTTGACTCCACATGTATCTGCCTGCGATCAACCACGTGGGCTAAGAACTCAATAACCAAAATGGAAAGATCTTTTGTCAACTCAACTTACACCAGAATCAATTAGAAGAGGCTGCAATATTTATTCACATTTGCATTTTATTTTCATATATTTACGAAGTTCTACAAATGTCTTAAATTATCATCATACATTGCAACTGACCCCCAAAATCCTTTAAGCTCAGAAGTGGATTAATATTCAAGAGTTTAAATCAACAGAACACTGTTTTCCTGGATTTGCTCCCTAGTGATGTGATGTTTTGAAAAACATTTTCATTTAGCATTTTCCACCAACCAAAAATATAGGGTCTGCATCTTCTATAAAAAAATATCACACTCTGACCATCTTAAAAATTTCTGAAACTGTAAAACATTCACGAAAGGAAGAAAAATGCCAGAAAAACTGCTTATCTCAAAGTCTCTTCAAAACATCAGAAGAAAGATGGCAGCATAGGACTAAAATAAAAATATGAACTCACGCTTTATACCTGAACCACAGCTACTTTAAAAACAAGTAAAAATTCTAGAATTACAAAACCCATCACCATATAAGACGGTGTTTCAAAAGCTGCAGTCTATATTCTGAATCCTTTTGTTGGATATGCAGAAATGAGAGGGGCCACATATTTAAACAGATTTATTCATAAGCGTGTTCCTCTATTTAGACTCAAAGCTTTAGAGAGAAAGCTTGTTTCTCGTAACTTCAGAAACAATCCCGATAGTATTTTTAGACTTTACATGCAATATGTTACTAAAGTAAGAGCTCTCGCTGAGCTCTGTGCCCAAGAGATGCCGTGTTTCTCAGAGCTGTTCTCAGTACACCTGATAGATGTCAGCACAGTGGTGGCAGCGTTATGCAAAAAGGGGGTTGCACTTGATTCCATCATCTGCACACTCTTAAAATTCAGGCATCTTTATGAAAAGCTTTTATTTTTATGAGAGCACTTTAAAGTTCAACTCATTCTTATTTTACATGGAAATGAAAGAACCATTGCAAATTTACACAGTGGAACAGTGACTCAACCAGAAATAGAATCTGCAGTTTCTTGAAGCCTCGCATAGTATTCTCTCTGCCACACGCTGTCTCACCACCATGTCTCAATTATTCATGAAATGTTCTGCATTCTTTATAAAGCTCCACGTTTTAACTAGGAAATGAAACAAAGTAAAGCCGTAGACACTGAATAATGTATGAATTGCATCATGTCAGACCCTAAGTGCTGGGGTTAGAAAACAATCTCCTCACCAAAGCAGGCAGCAATACCTGCATTTGAAGACACAAAGACTAGCAAGGCCAAAGGCATTTATTGTGTGTTCTAGCAAATTTCATCAACGACAAACACTCCTCATACAAAGACTACAGCCCCTGAGAACTTACTCCTTGGAAAATAACTCTCCTAAAGTCACCCTGCTTGCCCTTTGATTTCTCCAGCTATACATACCACGCGTTTGTGTTTAACCAAATGCATTCTGTACTCCTGAGCCTCACTCCATGAGCAGGAGACATAGCCTGCAAGACACCAAATCTGACTTTCCAGATTTTGAATTGACTGAACAGATCAACAGTTATATATAGCCCATATACATTAGAAACAGCACTTCTGGGAAAATGCACTGTGTAAACAAGTTTATAGAAGTAAACTGATCTAATCCATCTGGCTACTGTCCTCACTCTGCACCAAAAAAACTCTTCCAAGTAGCAGGTCTTTTAAGACCTACATATATGCTCCTCCTAAGCCGAGCTCTAATGCCTACCAATGTCTATATTTCACATACAAGTGAGTATAAGTCAGAAAATTTCTGACTCATCTTCCCTGTTAAATATCCTATTCCCTGTAAAGAGACTGTCTCCCTCTTGCTTGCAGTTTACATTAGAGAACAAAATCTTCCCAACACTAACCTCTAGCAGAATAATCAAAAACAGTTAGTTAAAAACAAAACAAAACACCAAGCCAAAACCCCCAGCCCAAACTACCTGTATTCATTTAACTGATTTCTGAAAGGAAGAAGTATTCAGTGAACTATACAGAGCATTCACTCTTGGTTAGTACACACTTCCAGTCTACACCATTTAGATATAAGAAAAACACAAATACTAGATGTGCAGAAGCTACATAATATCCAGTTTTCAGTGTTAATTGTGTTACTTTCTCCTTTTTGATAGATGGAAAAAAATCTAGTGAAAAAAAAAATCTCATTACATGAAGAAATTTGGTTGGCTTGGTATAGCACAGAATCATAGAATTCCTGAGGTTGGAAGGGACCTTTCAGATCATCTAGTCCAACCGTCAACCTAACTCTGACAAAAACCTCCACTAAACCGTATCTCTAAGCCCTACGTCTACCTGTCTTTTAAATACCTCCAGGGATGGTGCTTCCACCACTTCCCTGGACAGCCCATTCCAATGCTTAATAACCCTTTCAGTGTAAAAATTTTTCCTAATATCCAATCTAAACCTCCCCTGCCATAACTTGAGGCTGTTTCTTCTTGTCCTATCGCCTGTGACTTGGGAGAAGACACTGACCCACACCTCGTTATAACCTCCTTTCAGATATATCTCTCTCTCTCTCACAAGAACTTAGTTTCACTTAATTAACTAAAATAAAAATTCAGCAAATAATTTTTTTAAACAATGTTAAATTAAATAAGCCAACTATTGACCACTAAATTTAAAGGCATTAGCAGCAGAGAGGTGTCTCTGCTCAATGTTTTTTTACATATAACAGGCCATTTGCTCTGAGAACAGCTTGTTAAGCTTAGCTTATTAACTTATGAGATGTTGTATTAGAAATGAAATTTATACCATCACTTAATTGAGAAATATATATAATTTAATGTTATATATATATGTATGTAAATTCATGTTAACAGCTGAAAGTTTGAACAGCATGTACGTTCATGTATTTTGAACAGCAAAGCCCCAGAAGATTCTGTGAATGAAATCAGGGTCAACTGAGCTGACTGCATTTTTTAACTGATAAAATTTTCATAAAGAAGCAGTAGTAGTAACTTGAAGTATAGTGGTTCACCAGATGTGTAAGTGACAGGCCTATGTCATATTACAGAAACCACAAGTAAGTTTTCTTAGCATTTATATGGAAACAGTATTTCTGTATCATGAAATTACCAATACGTATTTTCACAGAAGAAAATTCCATTCAATACAATTATTTTAAATTTTGCACGAGTATCAAAATGTTGCTTTCTCCCTTCATCCACAGCCCCAGCTCTAAGAGAACGTTAATGAATTAACTCAGCATCTACCCTACCATGATTTTGTTTTTTTTCAAGATGCCTTCTGCTGCTGCCATTCATAAGGAGCTAAGCACCCTTAGGGAAACAGACACACAGGAAACAAACCCTGTCCTCTCATCTTACTCAGTCATCTAGCCTTACTGAAGATGGTTATTCCAAGTTAGTTTGTTTTCTTAGTCTGGACAACATGAAACACTGTTTTATTCAACTGCTACAGCGCAAAGATATGAACGGGGAGATCATGTTAAATGCAACCATGCCCTTAATCTAAATATTTAAGGCAGATAAAAGACCGTGACGGATTTAGAGAAGAAATATGGAAAATGTTACTCCATTAATCCAGTTCTTGCTGCGTATGCAAGGAGAGAAAGAGAAAGAAGAGAAACATTAGAAATAGGAAATATGGATTGGAAGAAAATCAAGAAGGAAGTCACAAATATGCAAGTTTTGGTCTTGAAATGTTAATGCAGACAATTATTTTACTATAAGTTTTTAGCAACACAAGAAGCATTTTAAGTTAAGTTTTAAGAACATGAAGAACTTAAATACAAATTAACTAGATTCTGATTATCTAGAACTTGAAAACAACTGATATTCATCCTCCATATGTTAGCCACATACAGATGTAGAAGCAGGCTAAATGTCACACAGTGCTGGTACCTATGACATATTGTTATTAAGAATGACAATTTCAGTAGTGGTATTGCATGGCAAACAATTCAAGCTCTATTCATCCTATCTAAAAGTGGCTAATTTGTAAACCAGCCTCAGCTTCATTATTAAGCAAAACATTAGAACTGAGCATCAAAACGGTTTTCTTGTTGCCACATATTCAAATATTAATCCTACTAATTCTTAGTCCTACCACCTCCTTCCAGAGCATGAGATGAGCAGTTACAGAATATGACATGCAGAAGATGATCTAACAGCACTGCTGTGGTTTCCTTGCCACATTCAGCTTACTACAAGCACTGGGTCTCCTCTGCTCTCCAGGCTTGCCTTATGAAACAGGCTGGGGCAAGCTTTTACTACCAATGACAACTGTCACGGACCCCTGGCAACTTTTTGGTAACATAATCCTTTATGGAACCCACAATATCAGAGAATTTTAACTGTATTTACAATGCAAGTCATACCTCAAATAAATCATAACCCTCAGCTTCCACTCTATCATATGGTCGGATGATGCCGTCTTCGTGAATGAAACGTGGAGGACGGAGATTAGATACTTCTTCGGTTGATTCTGCTGCCCTGCCACAGACAGTGGAAGAGTACTCTGGTGAGCTTACTACAATTCTGGGTTTCACTGATATATCTTTCCTAGGTACCTTACAGATGGAAATAGTAAGGGCACCCTGGTAGTAATAAATCCAAAGTAATATTAGCCTATTAGACAGCGACAGAATAACTTGGAGAGGTCTACTCGAATTCGTGGATAATTTACTAAGGGTTCTCAAGTTTATTAACATACTTTCCAAAGGTCCCCTTAAAACACAAGCAGCCCCTGATGAGCACTGCTAAACAAATTTCAAACTGGCAAGTTTTTCTCAGAAAATTTCAATAGACTATTTTTTACAGTAAGTTTAAATGGCATTTAGATATTTGCATTCAGTAGTACACAAACATACCTCACAAGCAACACTTACACGTGATCTTTTAATTACTTTCTCATCAGGGGAGGGAATGAAAGGAAAAAATGGACTAGTTATCTACCTAAACTACAACACTGCAGGATGTATTATGTCTGAAGCAGCAATTTCCAGAGATCATCATAAAATAAGCTGATTCAATTACAGGCTACCAGACAGCTCTCAATCCCATATATAACACTGCATATTGCATTTAACACAAATAATTGTGTCACTACTGGACCACTTTACCATCTGGTATCCAACATACAGAGAGTACTTTGATACCTCCTCTTGACATCTTACCTTTGAATTCCCTGGAAGGTACTGCTTGCCATATCTACGATGCCACCGGTTGGGCGGGCAACCACTCCTACAAGCCCCTTTCCAATTCCTTTAAAGAATCCAGCTGCACCTTCTTTTTTAGCCCCTTTTGAAATTAAAGCAACGGAAAAGGAAATAGTTTTCATGACTTACTTGAAGACAGTAACCACAGAATTAAACCATTAGAACTGTTCTGTATTGGAAACAGCCCACAGAAATTGATTACCTACAACCCACTTATAAAAAAAAGTCTGTATGAAAAGTCACACTTTGCTTCCCTGCCTGTTCAGACGTGGGGCACTTCACTTAACACCTTACCAGCCTCTCAAGCCACTGTAACTGAGGTGTTAAATAGACTTCACTGCTCACACTTTCAGTCTGGACTGTAGGCCAATATATCTATTACTATAAACCTATAAAAACTAAGTAATCTGAAGACTCTCAGATGCACAATTATGATGGAAATTAACTATTTCTATCTCAAAAGTACATGTTTCTGGTGATACATAATTATGCAAGAGCCAAGAGAGTGTTCAGAAAGCATGTGAAAGCATGTTAGAAAGCAATGAGGACTACAACTCCAATTATCTGCCACTAACTTACAAAATACAATGCACTAACTTATAAAATACAATGCAGTAACACCTTCCAGCATTTAAAACCACTTTCACATGAATTTTAATAAGAGGCTCTTTATCTTGGATTTTTTCATCATCTATCATACCAATAATGTCTTCACAAGAACAAATACTGATCTCAGGCATAAAACCAAATTTGCTTTTTAAGATTTCTCCAACCTTTGCAGTACCAATTTTTAAAATTGGTGCTTTTTTATTTATTATTTTTAGCATCTTTACTACAGCAGGTTTAACAAAATACATCACAAAGACAAACATTCCTTAATACATATACAGGCTGGAAATGTCCTAAGCCAACAACAGCTATATATATATTTGAGAATATCATCATTTAAGGTCACATTTCAATTAGAAATATAAAAATAATCTTCTTACAATATAATTACAAAATAATCCTTAACACCACCACACTCAGATTGCTTTCTTAAAATTACGAAGGAAATTGCAAAGTACTGGGAAACCACTTAAGCAGCTCAGTGCAACATTAGTGCTTACCTTCCACAGGTTTAGTGATTATGCCAGTCACACCTCCAACAACACCCTAAGATGAAGAAGATAATTAAGTTCCTACTTAGAAACAGGAACGCTATCATCCAACTAGGAAACAAGCTGCTTCTCATCCTTTGCTTTAAAACTTTAATGAAGTTTAATATCAGAAACACTGTTAGGCTGGGGTTTTTTGGGTTTGCTTGGTTTGGTGTTTTTTTACTTTAAATCTTTAAGAAATTTATAACTGAGGGAAAGAAGAAAAGGGGAAAACCTAAAATGGCTGAAGAAACGTTTATACTGGCAAGAAAGACTAACAAATCTTTTGTATAGAAATCTGTCTTGTAATAATTAAGAAAGTCACTATTTCACTTTCACTAGCAATAGGAAGCTTCCAAAACTCACAGTTACGAGTGGTACCAAGTATTCAAGATAAATTAATATCAAATAATTCTATGGAAGACTTTAAAGGTCAATTAGTTAATGACACCAAGGGAGAGGAATAAACATCCACTGAGGTAACAAATGGTTCCAGACAACTCTACAATTTTTCTCTTCTGTTTACTTCATGAACTGATAAAGATGACTTGAAACTTGCTTGCATGTAATTGTCAAGCACGGATTAAGAGTTGGCACATCATACCCTCAACTTCAAATCCATACCCGTAACAAGCCCTTTCCTCCTTTGGCCAGGCTGTCACCAAAGTCTTTTGGCTGCCGACCCATTTCCTCTCTCCGCTTCTGCTGAAATTCTTTATCCATAGTAATAGCAGCCAAGCCTTTTCCAACAGAACCAGTGATCCTAGACACCACCCCTGCTGCACCACCTGGTAGAACAGGGCAGAAACCAAAAGTTACTGTTCTTTCACAATTTAACAGCAGACAACACACAAGAAGCCATGAAGTTTGTAACGATTTCCCTTCATATGCAGTTCAGATATGATTTTACAGAGTGACTACCACGTCATCCATGAGAAGACTCCAGAATAAATAATAATTTTGTAACTACAGCAAAATATAACTGCTAAATAGCTTCAGTAGATGTTATCTAGCATATTCTCTTGACTGTAACACATAAGGAAACAAAAATCTAAGGGAACTGTAACTGGTCTGAAGAATACTTCTCGGGCTTCTCCAGACACTTTAAGACCATTAGAATTATTTTTCTTATTCATCCACAGCATGTTACAAATTCAGTTATACATGCAATACTGCTCAGTTCGTTTGCTCAGTCTTCAAAACAGACATTTAAATGGTCTCAAGTTAGTTAGGTACAAACGATCTGTATCACAAACTCTGGCAACAGTACCTGACTAACTTAAATACTTGTCAACATATTACCATGTAAAAATTTTAAAACTATAACTTTCCCTCCAAAATAATAAGAAAACAAATCTAAATGCAATCCGTGAGTTATCCTGATTTATTAAACCAATAATGATACGATACATACCCACTGTGTGTCCAAGAAGACTTTTAACACCAATTACAAAGCCCTCAGCAAATTCTTCAGGTCCTTGAACAGCACCCTAAATATGAAGCTTATTATGAACAGCAGAAAACTACGTATTTATGCAGCCATTTCAAGAAAAACTAGCAATTCCTTTACATTGATGGAAGTAAGGCCAATTGAATACATTACTTCTTTAAAGTTAACATAAAAAAATAACTGCTTTCTTAACTTTTCAGGGTGTAGAGTACAATGGCAACAAAACTACAACCCTACCACTATATTCAATCAGCCTACTATTCACACACAGTGGAAGAATCAGGAAGTGGTACCTGGAATGGCTCGTAGAAGAAAGCTTCAACTCCCTCAGACAAACCTCTGATTAAGCCAAATGGATTTCCAAGAACGTCTAACCCAAGCACAAGAACATACATCTGTTTCAGGAGCTAAATAATGAGGGGAAAAAGCAAAAACAAAAGCAGTGTTACTAGCTATTGTTACACATAGTTCCACGTTAGAATCCAAGGCTGGTAAATTTTTTTTATTTACTACTTAAGTAAGGTGTTAGGATACTCAACTAAGTATTCTTTAAGAAGGAATGAAGACAGATTTAGGCAAAAGACACAATATATGTAGGGATAGCTATTAGAATACTTTGGCAAAGAAAAACAAAAAAAGAACAGAAGCAATCACTTAAAATTCTTAAAACACTTTTTCAGGACACTTCTGCATTTAGGTTTTTGTAATGTGCCACCCGATTCCTACTTCAGTACTAAGAAATAGAAAAACCAGTAGCTTTTAGAGGTATTCGGCTTTGCTTTCCTATTTGCTGCATTCTGTAAGGTACTCAAAATTTTACACAAAGGCTTGATTGATTAAGCTTACTTGTTCACTATAGTGTCTAACAACTCTCTTCATCAGTTGGTCTCTCTTGTAGAACTGATATTTAATTTCAAAGAAAGCAAGTCTGAAAAACAAGTGATCACAGGTTAGTTGTCCTTCTAAATAGTTCTCTCTTTTCCTTCAGATACTACTGAAGCCCTACTCTCTTAAAAAGGAGCCCAAACTCCATCTTTTCTCCATTCCTCCCTTTCCCCAAAGGCTCTATACATTTATACTAGAGTCAGTCAGCAAAGTTTACCACGAACCTGGTTATTAAATGTCTAGTAGCTTTATTCAAAATATTTCTTTAAAAAGTATATCTTTATTAGCTTACTTGAAAATAAGATCATCTACGTCTGTTAGAGTAGCTCCAATACTTTTCAACAGCAAATTCAGAGAATGGATGGCTATCGCTTCTTCCCCCTTATCTGATGCTTCTCCACCAGAAGCCAGAGACAGACTCAAATGCAACTGTCAAGACAAAATTAATAAAACGAGACAAATCAAGACAAAAAGACAAACACCAGACAGGTTGTGTGGTGCACATGTGAGCAAACCAGTACTGAAACAGCACTGAGTGTATTTTTACTCACTTTGAGGAAAAGTACAATTTCAACAAGCGTGTTTGAACTCACAATGATATTACTTTGGTAGCTGATGTATTTATTTATATTTCCATATAGAGAACTGTCAAATTGCCCTAGGAGTTTAACTTTTATTATGTTTATATCTAGAAAACTTCTGTGGATACAATGAGAGAAACAACATGGTAAGTAGGTGGAGCTTAACTCCCAGTACAAGTTAAACTTTAAATTCTGATTTATGCAACTAGCTCACATGTATTTTTACAACTAGCCATTCTTTTGGGGAAATGCATGAACTTTAAATAAGTCTTTAACACTCTAAAATGGGATTATTTAGTGTTGATAAGACACCTTTTCTAAAAGAAATCCACACATTTTTCTTAAGGGTGGAGAGGGCAATAGAAAATTACTTTTCTTTTTCCTTGTTTACCACCATAACCAATATTGCTTGCTTCCACTTGCTTCAAAAAGGGCATAGCAGTTATCCTGTATGATTTGACTTTTTCAAGATTCCTCATTTTCTCTTTTTTTTTTTTTAAAGGCCACACAGCCATTTTCATGGTCTTCTCACTATCCAGTGGTTTAGAATACTGAGATGAAGGTGAAAAAAATGGCAGAGAAAAAGAAGCCCCTTCCTGTACTGAACAGACAGCACACCTAGACATTTCAAATAAAGATGCAGAAGAGACTTAACATGATAACCATTTCTCCAACAACTTTAACTAGACTACCTAGAGGATGATGTTCAAATATGACAACAGTGTCTTGTTCCTCAAATGTTTTCCCTGGCTTCATATTCATGTAAGTTTATAAGCACAATCATATTAGAAAAAAAATAATAATAATTTGAGAACCTAAGCATACCCTAACAGGCATCTAGAGAAATAAGTAAAAAAGCTGAAAAAAATGCCAGAATTTAAGTATCTGTATTGAGGTGTATGTCTGTCTTTTATATGTTCAGTGAAAAATGGAAAGTAAGCAATTCTTCTCCTCTAAATTCTTATTCAGTCTGATAGCCTTAGGGAAGCATTCTGTTGATTCACAATAATGTATAATTACTGATGATCTTTATGCCCTTGCTCCAAAAAAATCTAACTGGTTCATGAGAGACATGAAGACAAGCCCATGAAAGCGTGTTTATTACAATTTATCATACATTACTTGGACACCCTCAGGCCAGCATTTTATCTAGCTCGTTATTATACCCATTGACTCTTTCCACTTAGCAATGGTTAAGGGTCTGTTTGTACTCATGGGCAACTAAGAAAGTTTTCCAATAAAATACTGAGTTATGGAAAACATTGAAAAAAATCCCCATTAGAAAGACAGCATGAAGACCTTGGTTACCCAGAAGGCTGATCTGAGGATGTATTTACTCCTAGGAATTAAGAGATCATTGATATCAAGTGGTTTATTAGCCAAAAGTATCTCTCTATTACATACCTTTATTGGAGAAATATGGAAATGCTCAAAGAAGCTGAGCATTGACAGGTCTGTTAAAGAAGCCTCCATTAGCTCAGTGTTAAGTGCATCCACATCTTGCTGAATTAATTTAGTCTGGGTTTGTTAAAAAATAAAAAAGAAAAAACAGAGCAGAAATTTACCTCATTAGCATATATGTAATATAATTAACAATATTATATATAAGTACATATAAAAAGTATATATACACATACAAATAAACAGCACAAATGATAAACATAGCCAAATGTAACATGACAGTTAACTACTTAAATAACCAACACCTCCAAAACTGGAAATAGTCTAATTACTTTTGTATAACAGATTATAGATGTGCTAAAATATTTCTTTAATCCAGGGTTAAAAAAAAAAAACCAAAAATCTGAAACCATAACACAAACCAAAAAACCCCAAATGCAAAACACACAACAATTTCTGTGTGACTTTTCCATTTTATGCCATATCACTTGATATTCCCTTAGATTCCTCAATCATTTAAGGTATCACTTCCAAATTAATTTAGAAATATTACTAAATAATACTATCTTACAGTGTCTTTTTATTCACTGTTGTCAAATGAAATACTTACTTAAACTGAAATATTCAGAAAATCTCAACACTGTTACCATAAAGGCCTTGTTCAGGCAAAAATCAGTTCCTCTCATAGTTACCCTTTGTCTTTCAGCTTCTGGGTCTGTTGACGGAGTGAAAAGTTCGCTAAGTGCTCCTAAAAATCCCTGATCAATTTTCAGTGCCATTTCCTGGATTAGAACCATGAAGTATCTGCAGTGTCTTTTTATTCACTGTTGTCAAATGCAATACTCACTTAAACTGAAATATTCAGAAAATCTCAACACTGTTACCATAAAGGCCTTGTTCAGGCAAAAATCAGTTCCTCTCATAGTTACCCTTTGTCTTTCAGCTTCTGGGTCTGTTGACGGAGTGAAAAGTTCGCTAAGCGCTCCTAAAAATCCCTGATCAATTTTCAGTGCCATTTCCTGGATTAGAACCATGAAGTATCTGAAATGGGAAAACCAAACAGTATGTACTTTTAGAAGTTTAACTTAAATATCCCACGCTTACCCTACATAATTGAAATTTTGTTATGCTATGTTGCATATTAAGACTTGTAATCTACAATATCAACTGTTTGTTTACAGTTAGAAGGGCTTACCAGCCTCACAAAGCTATATATTACTTTACTGTAGATTACTCTTATCTTTATTTTGTTATGCCATGTTGCATATTAAGACTTGCCATCTACAATATCAACTGTCTGTTTACAGTTAGAAGGGCTTACCAGCCTCATGACGCTATATATTACTTTACTGTAGATTACTCATATCTTAACACTTTCAAAATTTACCTAAAAATATTAATGATCACCAATTATCTCTTATACTCATACATTATGTTTCCACACGCATCATAATATTAATGATCACCAATTATCTCTTATACATTATGTTTCAACACGCATCACGGATAACTTCACCTAAGCAACATATTTCTTCCTCTTATCCAACTGCCGCTCTCCAAAAGGCATATTACTTAATATTTATTTTATTAAAATTAAGCATCCCCAAATATTATATACACACTAATTAGGTACAGATACTCGCATGAGAAACCATCATAGTAATGGTTTTGTCTCACTTTTAGTACAAAAACTCAGGGCAGACATATTAGCTAAAGAAGCTACATTTCACATTACAAGAGCTGTCTCTTATTAGAGCTCCCAATAAACCCAGCACTGCAAACAGGCAGAAATGCAACTCTGATATTGTAGCACAAGGGGGAAATACCTCTGATTACACAAATTGCTTAGTAACAGTCCCTTCAGGTGGTCAGCCCTTACTTTCTAAAATCAACTTTCTTTTAGAATGATGTTTTTTCACTAGAGTTGTTTAAAAACTCAATCCAAAGTCAAGAGCTGTTTGGCTAGAGGTGAGCGTTAAAACAAAGTTCACTTCTAAAACATGTTGAATCTTTAAAATCATATTACAACACACAGTTAAACTCACTTGAATTGTAGAACTTTGCTGTATTCGTTGAATCTAGTGATAATGCTGATGTCAATGAAGGGTTTTGGTTCTAAATAGAAAAAAAAGAGCCTAAGTATATGTTAAAAAAATAAATTGCCAAGTTACTACTTTCAAGGCTGAATAAATCTCGTATTACTAAAGGCTCTCTCTTACCTGAATCCAAAGCAATCGACTTGGGAGGGGCTACAGGGTGAAATACAACAGGAAACATCGATCCTGGTAACTGATTATCAACCTAAAAAATTTTGCATAATTGCAGGAATATTTTAATGACACTATAATCAAAGACCATTTCCATTTTAGAAAGCTTGAGAAACTTGTTTATAGATTGTGTTCAAGTACATCATTCTTATTTTGGGGAAAGAAGAAAAGAGGAAGAGGATTATTTTGGAATGTTATCTTGGGGAAAGAAGAAAAGAGGAAGAGGATTACTCTGATATTATTTTGAAATGTTATTTAGTTATAAAAGGTCAGAGGGTTGGAAATGTTGCACAAGGGATGCTGACACAGGGTCACACCCACAAAGATTCATTTAAAGGATGTGCAGCTGATGGCATACATGGACTGTAACAGTGAAAACTACCTCCAGACAAAAACAGAAACAAAATGGGAAATATAGAAGGAAAGAGGAAACTTCCCCATCAGCTGATCAGGAAAAGCATCAACAGGGTCCTCAATGAGAGCCCTCCCCTGGGGGACTCTGAAGTGCAGCAAGTGGAGATGATGATGATGATTTTTCACCATCATTTTCCTTTAGTACTAAACACTTCTCACTAGTACCTGCTCAAGTGCTCTACTGCTTATTTTACCAACATTATTAGTACTGACTGGAGTATAGTGAAAACTACCTCCAGACAAAAACAGAAACAAAATGGGAAATATAGAAGGAAAGAGGAAACTTCCCCATCAGCTGATCAGGAAAAGCATCAACAGGGTCCTCAATGAGAGCCCTCCCCTGGGGGACTCTGAAGTGCAGCAAGTGGAGATGATGATGATGATTTCTCACCATCATTTTCCTTTAGTGCTAAACATTTCTCACTAGTACCTGCTCAAGTGCTCTATTGCTTACCTTAGCAACATTATTAGTACTGACTGGAGTACGCTAATCAGGTGCAAGTGTTGCACATTAATTCACTGTTAAACTTTCATGCAGATATATTATTGCATACTATTTTTGAATATTTCTATGTCTAATATCTACTTCCCATCAGACAGATAGTTTTTGTACTGAAGATCTCTGAACCTCTAGATACACTCTCTAGAATGTTACATGACTACATTATAAACAATGGTAAATAAATTTTGAAAAAGGCAGGTTTTTGTTTGTATGTTTTAACACACCAAAACACCTCTCTTCAAAAATAAACTTTTCATCATAGCACCCTGCTTTACATTAATCCACAATTGTGTGGAATTTTTTCCATACTACTTGCAAAATCCTGGGCTGGCAATTCTTCAATACTTCTCCATCAATGGAGCACTCACAGCACTTCCACTGCTCTGATGCTGTGAGCATAGCTCCACAGAGACAAGATTTGGAGATACTTCCTCATGTAAATGAATAAAATAAAAGCCTTAAAGTATCTGCTTAGTTTCAGGATGACCATGATGGAAGATGGTACCTGCAGCCAATACAACTGAGCCCGTAAGCTTCTTTGGTGAGGCGACTGTTTGAATTCAACCTGAATTCCTGACAGGAAGTTGCGTCGGATGTTGCATCTGACTGGGAGACGCATTTCCATTGGAACTTTACTAAAATTCACCTGGAAATACAAGAAAGCAGAGCTAATGTGCAGTTTAATCAGAGAAATAACAAAATGTTACGTTACCAGTAAACAAGCCGTCAAATAAAACCTGCATTTTTCCTTATTTCATGATCACAGGGCTACTCAATTACTCAATCCAGTTATGTGCATGTAAAGTAACCAAACCCACAACTTATTCTGATAAGCCCATCACATTGCAACTTCAGCTGACCCCAGTGGGAACCTCTGTGTCATCTTAGTTACTACTTTTTCATGAGTTATATATTACATTGGCACAATTAAATATATTTACATGCAGCTGATTAGTTTCCCAGCTGATGCTTTTACCCTGATCCCGAAATACTTAAGTTATGAGAAGCAAAAGGAAAAAGCTCTCCTTTATTCTGAGTCAAATGTAACAACTTTCAGATACAAGTTTTTGATATCACATACTTAAAATGCACCACTGCATAGTACAATACCTAAGTATTCACACAACTAATGGTATATATGTTTTTTAAATGAAATGATGATACAGAAAAGAAGCCCGATTATGGTACTATAAAATGCCTGTATTTTAGTTAGCCATTTCAACACATTAAATTTGCATGTGGAAAACAAGTATGTGTTATTATTGTCTGAAAAAGCTCAGGTAAGTGAATTAATTGTAAGAGCCTTTGAATGCTACAGTCTCCTTTATCACATCAAGTCATGGGAACTGCAGCTTGCTAAGAAGTTAAAACCAACATTTCTGCAAATAATTTGTTACCTTAATGAGAATATCAGTTCCTAACTAACATGGAGCTACCAAGCCATCTTTTCTACCACAGAGAAGTAAAACTCTTTGAGATTCTTGCTTCACAATACAAGTCTGGAAAATACCTCAGTACTGCCTCAGGATTACCTCAATACACAAATATGCTACCATATAAAAAGTAAAACTATTTTTAAAAAAAGCTTACTTTTTGTTTGTTTCCCTTAACACCGAGCATCTATCCTTCCTCAGCAAAGCAGAAGTCTGTTTTAACTGTTGCCTGTGTTCTGCAATCACTTAAAGACTGAAACCTCAAAACATACCTCAGTATTGCTGTCTATTTTATGCCAACCTGGAGCCTGGAAAGCACTTTTAGAAAGATACTTTTGATAGGCTTGTTCCAACAGGTTTATTTGTTTTTGATTAAATGGTTTCCACTTGTGCCTCGGTTTCAGTTCCCAAACAACACCAGAACTGAAAGACAAATAACAAGGTTAAAAATTTAAATGTACTTAAAGCTTTCTTAAGTATGCAAACCGTTAAAAAGATATTTTCTCAAAAATCCCTGTCATTCACTTTTTCTTTTTTTAATAGAAGCTAAGAAAGGAGGCATTTAAATCCCTCTTATTCAAATTGTGCAACGAGAATAAAGGCAGAACTTAGTTTTACTTAAAAAGGTTTCACTGATACTAATTTTATTTGAAAAATGTCCCTTCATCTCTACTATATTGCTGAAATTATACTATGTTGTCAAATTTTGATTATTCAAAGGAATATTTAGGCTTCCATGGGCATTACCTAGTAATTCCTATATAAGAGATTTCTTTTTTATTTTCATTGTTAACAAGAGAAAGTCCAAGACTATGGAGTGACAAGTTTATTTCTTGATCAGGTTGCTCCAGCTCCTCTGCTTGTCGTGCTTTAGAAACTAATGCAACATCATCTGTGAAAAGTAGCACTCGTTGGCGTCCATCCAGGAAAGACACCCAGTGTATCTGAGTGTTTGCATTGTAAGGGAATTGGCCACATTCATCCTGTACAGGGGGGGGAAAAAAAGCATGTAAGTGTATTACAGGAGTAAATCCATGATGTCGCTGTATGTTTATAAGCACGCAAGTCTACTGGCACGCATCGAAACTACAACTCAGGATTTTTCTCATTTGTTCAGTTTACTCCATCATACTGATTTGGTGGCAGCTTCTATTGAAACACAAGAAGGCACTTGAGGGGTGGAATTTTATTTTGTTTTGAAAAGTTGGCATTCCAGCGGTATTTGTGGGTGAGAATAATACTGGAAATTATTAGGAAACTAAGGCCTTACCAGCAAAAGAAAAGATTCAGAACCGTAGGTGATGGAGGAGGCATTAAATCATGTATGTTTACAGAACAGTAAAACCAGACAATGATTAAGATCTCTGCCCATATCTTTGTTATTCCTTATTTTGAGGCAAAACTGAGATAAAGCACTTTTCTCAAAAGCCCAAAATAATCATGAATGTAACCCTCATTATATAATAAGGAAATAAGTTTTGAACTGAAAGCATTTTTAAATGTAGAAACTTTGACCCAAGGAAGTGCTTATACAGTAAAACACACTGTAATTGGTTAACTGTCAGAGTTCAGCTGTGAGAAACTAAATCCATTCCCACGGTAACTGAAACACAAACTTGTTTTCCTGTCCCTACTGTCAGCTACTAATATTTTCTGTTTTCTTATCTTAACTCTCTGCCTAATCAACAGAAAAACCAAGCTACCACTGAGGAATTCAGAGTCTAGTAAAAGGTGCAAGAGGGCTGCTATTTAGAGACAGCCACATCGTAGGACTTTATTCAGCCTACATTCCAGTTAGGTAAGAAAACTCCATCAAGGTTTGCTTCTCCATTTAACAACACTCTTGGCCAGACTTTTCCCAGATTTATCTCTGCTTCTAGTTATAATTTCCCCCTTTCCCCCACTCATTTTCCATCTTGATCATCATTATTTTGCTCCCATTTCATGCATTTTCCTATTTTAAGATTGCATGAGTTCTAAATACTGAAATAGTGAGCAACTGGGAATTTTCTGCTCCATGCAAGCACTTCCCATAGGAAGCGAGTCACAACAGTCATGGCTTTTCTCCATCTTTAGGGAAATACTTAAGCCCAATACAGCACTGCTAGAAAATCAGTGAATTATTCATCCTCTGTACTATTTAGATATATCCACAGCTCATATACTTTATTCTCCTTCTTTCATACCCAACAAAAACATGGAGAAAATGCAGGTTGGAGCTTGTGTCCAATCCTCCAATTGTATTAATCTAAGCATCTACAATCTTGCTACATGAGAGGAGGTCCAAAGTCTCTTATGGATGCAGTGTTACTGAAGCAGCTTTCTCACAGATAATTTTCATCTTGTTATAGTCCTAGATTGGTTCAGCATTTATTTTTCCCCTTCTGAAATTTACCTTAAGTAGGTCATGTTCACCAAAATTTTGGGAGTAGCCCCAAGTCAATTTTCTTGTTTTAGTTGGATCTGTCCATGCAAACAGGCATACTTGGTTCGGTTTCAACTCCATTTCCTCTTGCAATCCGCTGCAGGTTAAAAGGTAAGGAGTAAAATGACAGCATTTTCTGGTTAAGACCACTGATTGAAGTGGTGCAAGCAGATCACAGAGCTACACACTCCACTCCTCCAGCCTGCTGGGGTGAGGTATGAAGTAGACAAAATACTTCATTAAAAAAATGTGATACAGAAATGGGGCTTTTTCCTTGTTTTTTGAGGTACTATACCGGCAAAAGAGAACTACTTTCTTCACAAAGGATACCCCACTCCGATTAAACAACCAATAGTGAATTGTGTCTTTCCCATACCTCTGTTTGTATCTGAGAGAGTCCCACGGCGTATGGTTAACGATAAGAGCTGGAGCAGCTCCCTCGTGGTAATCCGAGAAGCTTATGACAGTAGAATGCTCAGAAACGTTCACATCAACCAGTAAACCCCCATTCTGGAGAGCAAGTTAGACAGAAAGTTCAATATTTGTTCTTATTTAGTCTTTCACAAGCCTCTTACAAATGAGGAAAGCAAATGTACTCTGCATTACCCAGTAACAGCGAACTCAAAGCAGTCACTGGCTTAAGACAGACATCAGTAGCATTTACAAACTATTTGTTGATTTAATTTAATTGAAAAGTTACATTCAAACTATAACATTTTTAAGAATTACTTTATTTGGCTAAATTCAGTAAAAAGCACAGGCAAGCATTCCCTTCACTTTCTATTACAAAACTTAAAAACTGTAATGTCCTGCATACTGCTTCCAAATCTGAAAATCTACTCTAGAGAAATGTACTAAAGTTTCTAAAGTTATGACAAATATAGCCTATTAGCAAACTGATCACTGAGCAGGAAAGTTCTGTTGATTAAACTTCTAAACAAATTATCACAAATCTTTCTTCTAATGACTTTCAAGATCCTGCTTTCTTCCAATATATTTGCAAGATTCTTCTGAGATATGTAAAGCACAATTTTTCTCATTTTCTTATACAAAGGAGGTACCTCATCCTTTGCTTTTAGATAGTATCTTCAGATAGTTCTCTCGAATGCTTGTCTAGCAAGATAAATTGATGGTTTTGCTACGCTGTAAGGTCTGGAGAAGAGATGTGAAGGGATATATCTACCTTTGAAATATATGATCTTAAGTTCTCCAGCTCACATCAGAGAAATGTTAGAAATCATGTTTAGCACTCTACACAGTAGTAATAAAACCTCACTACATACAAGACTAGAAAGGATTCTCTTGCAAAGCTGAGCCATCTAATATCTTAGAACAGTAAAGAAAAAAAAGCCACTATTCTAATTAAAGTGCATCAACAGAACACCAGATCATTGATGACATCTTGTTCCAAAAACATTTTTTCAAACTGCTTTAACAAACTGGGAGAGCTAGATTATCCTCACAGTTACTTGTATCTCAGCTAATTATGATAAGCATTATCTTCAAAGACTTGTCTGAACATGCTACATTTATACGCACATTCCCTAATGCTGTGCTAGGGTAAGTTCTGAAATAATTAAGATTCTACTAATTGAATCACAAATTATTTTAGCCATTAACTGTTTGTCTCCGACATGTATTAGCTTATCAAAAAACCAAAAACTACATTGTATTTTTGGTAACTAAAGGCACCTAAGAAATACCCTCTGCAAAAGAACAGATGGTAGAGTGGTAGAGGTATGGCATGCTATTTTTAATTTAATAGCCATAGAACTGTTCAGCTTCCTATAAACTTGTCAAAACTAAATTAACCTGACCACGTCACACAGCTACGACAAGATTAACATCGCAAACTTGATTCGTAATCTTCTTTATGCAACTGAATTCAAGTGCAGTGCACCAACAAGGTTTCAATCTTGATGACCTTGAGCAGTCAAGCTTTCCTAAGTTCAATGTTCAGTACCTTAAGGATAAAATAGAGTATTAAGAACAGATCACACAAAGTCAGTCTCACCAATTCCTCCAGCCTCAGCAGAGTACCATTATCCTGGGCTGTATAAAGGAACGGTCTGGATGAGCTTTCATAACCAACTACTCTCACACAAAGTTCACCAGATGAGTTTTCAGGCCAAAATGGAAGGCACTGTAAAACAAGAAATATGCATGACTTTAACAGTTCGTATATGTTGAAAATAGTAAGTCAGTAGTAAAACAGTCCTGTGTGACTAAAACAAGAAATATGCATGACTTTAACAGTTCATATATGTTGAAAATAGTAAGTCAGAAGTAAAACAGTCCTGTGTGACAAACGATTTCAAATGCCTTAGTTCTTACCCCAGTATCTACTGATGAATGTCTCATCTACACTTACTAGATTATCTAAACTGAAGGACTTGATTAATTTACCAACATATGCAACCTGTACTGTTCAAGTTGCCCTGAGATGTGAAGTATTCATGTCACGCCATCAGATGTGACGGAGCTTCTATAAAAGAACTGCTTTTTCATCAAGTGATAGCTAGAGACCAGTTGTTTGTCAACAATAACATCCAAAGAAAAATAAACTGAAACATTACCTCTGAAGCCGAGATATAATTCCATTTATTAGTTGGAAAAGAGCCATTAGGACCAATTTCTCCAACTTCTAGCTCCAGAGAAGATTTGTTTGCTATTGTGTAGAATGGAGTGAAGGTAACTATCCTGGTAAGGTTAAAGCTGCTCATTTTGATGCTAACTCCAACCTGTTGAACAAGGACAATTTCAGCAAACAATCAACGACGAGCTTAAGAGAAATGTCAGGATGAAAATAAAGAAAAGCCAACATTACTGTAATTACAAAGGCTAGCACACTACACTCCTGTTCTGAACATCTGTAATAAAAGAACCAGATGGCATGCTGTAAAATCAGCAAACTAGGCAAAACAATTAACACAATAGTAAAGAGACAGTTTTAGCTGTAGCATTTGTGGGGAAAACCCAACAGGAATCCTGCTACAGTAATTCAAGACAACCTAAAAAGACCTTATCATGATATATCAGTTAATGAGTGTATGGAAACAACTCCCCACGTATCTGCATATAAACTGTATTCTTTATTCTGCCTAGTTGTGGAAATGTAGCCTTAAGCAAGGCTGCTGAGTGAAGATCTAAGCACTTGTCAACAATTATGAATTTTGAATGTGAACTCTTATCTCTGCCATACAAGTTCACCATTGTATTTTCAAACAGCCCAGCGCTCCACATTTGTTACATAAACCACACTTATGAATTACACTGAAAGTTGGTTGGAAGTTTTGGTTTTCTGTTGGAAACTACTTGTTGCCAGGGGCAGACCTGAATAGCTGAGGCATAAAATTATTACTGTAGCTGTTAAGTATTTTCATGATTTATAAGCAGCATAAATCATGAAATAAAGGCCTTAAGAAGAAAAAGAAGTCAAGCCAAAAGAACGCTAAGAAAACTCCACAAAACACAGAAACCCATCTTACCAGATAGTCCATGTTGTTAGCTGAACACTTGACACATCCATAGCTCCCTACAGTATCAAGGGAAAAGCTACTGGACCAAGTGCTAGTGGAAATACATAACTGGATCTACAAAAAAGAACATGGAAAGTGCTTAATAGATCAATTTTTATTTTATAGTTCATGAGTGCAATTATATCACATGTATGAAGACAGCACGTCAGTGCTTTTAAAACCTTCTGCAAATTAAGATAAGCTTAAGCATGTAGCATCACTTTTCATATTCTGATTTATTAGTCTGTGCCCGAGTTCTGAGGAAGATGTTACAGAAGCAAAATAGAGAAGTCCTCAATGACTCATCTTCCTGATAGCACACGCACAGATGGGGAAAAAATGCTACAATTTTGTAGTTCTTCACAAACTTGAAGAGAGGGGAGGAACTAGTCAAAAGAACATCTTGTCAAAACCATTTTTTCAACTATTGTTGGGTGAAAAATAATAAAAAGAAAACGTTTAAAAGGAAGAAGGGCCATTTCTGAAAATTCCTCTACTGCAGTACTCCTCATTTAACCATGCAAATATCACATCAAAACAAAGAAATGTTTAACATAGAACAAAATATTTACATTGTGCATTTTAAATGTCAAAGTACCTAGCTGAGTAAAACACAAGCCTGTGATTCCTCCTTATTCCCTGGAAAATACCTCCACAGAATGATTCAGAGCAGCCTTCCTTTTGACTGCAAAGGGAGTCCTTACTCTTAATTCATATACCTACATTAAATTCCTCTTCCAAGAAAACAGCTTTCTGGTAGGGTACCCACTGAGTTTTTGGGACCTAACTGCTCTATACTACCAACCAGCTTCTGGTCAGTATGAAAGTTCAGCGGTGGGATGCAGTGCAAGGCATGGAAAATGTTGCAATAGACTTCTTGTTACTTGCCTTCCCTTCCACACAGTCCTGAAAGTATAATTAAGAAGAAGAAAGCAGTGCAAGGCATGGAAAATGTTGCAATAGACTTTTTGTCTACTTGCTTTCCCTTCCACACAGTCCCGAAAGTATAATTAAGAAGAAGAAAGCAACAGCCAAATGAAAGCCTACAGATTTAAATACTATAAAAAAAAATCTGTAAACAAAATATATGCTTGTGTGGTTTTTCCCCCTTAGAGCAGGATTTTAAAACACCAACACTTAAAATAAGCATACCTTATTTTTACTAAAAATATTTTTCTTTTTAAAGGAGAACAAAACAATATCTCTGTAGTCTGCTGGGTGCTTCACATGAGTGTCTTCAGCCTGATACTGGAGAACCCGGGAAGTCTTGTTGATTATCCAATAAGGACTGAACACAGACAAGATCATACGACTTCCGATCCGCCTAGTATGTATGTAAATATCCACCGTCATCGCTGTTGCAGAATGGCAAGTGAAACACACAGAAAAAAATTCAGGCATCCCATCACAAATTTTAAAATGCCCACTCCAGTCTTTGCCTTGATATTTTATCAATGCAAGCTCCATTATTTCTCCATTGATTCTTGAATGAAAAACATCTGCAGCACTCCCTTCTGTCAATTCACGGGTTTCTGCTGTTCCCTGTAGCAAAATTAAAAGAGCCATATTAAGTTTTTAATAGATAAAATTTAGGTATTCAGAAAACAGTGGTTTTTTCTCCTCTTGCAGGATGCACATGTTTCAGGTATCTCAGGTACCGCAAGTCCCAATCTCCAATCCCTTTCATTTGAGTCTGATCCTATAAACAATTTGAGATCAATTGCACTTTTCTTGAAGGACAGTAAAGACTGCTTAATTCTGGATTTCAGGAAGGCAAACTAATTCCAATGCATCCCCTGTCTCTGTTCCCTCCCTCCTCCATAATTTCCAATGGATTTTGGCAGCGAGTTCTTATTCGTATACTTACAATACTGGGTGCAACACGGCATTGGGCTGTGCTGCAGATGTACAGCCAGCACTTTTCACATTAAAGAAGACCCAAGGCAGAAAGCCAGCAGCTGTGCAATTCTGTTTAGGAGCACAGCTTTCCTCAGGCAGTAGCATCCCACAGCAATAGCATTCCTGAGAAACGGTGTATTATTTCAGCTTTCCTCAGGCAGTAGCATCCCACAGCAGTAGCATTCCTGAGAAACAGTGTATTTTACTGTATTAAACAGTGAGTGGTGAGCCTTGATTAGTCGAGGGATGTGAAGACAATAAGCACATAACCATCTACAGGTACAGTGCCTTCAAAATAGATTTGAATTACTAGTTTCTAAGGCCTCAGTCAAGGCAATAGCCCTCCATTCTACCTTCTCAGTAGAAACTCAGAGTGATCCTGAGTACTGAAGTACAGTGAAGGTAAGGAACAATGGCAATAGTGCCATTAGGATGTTGCAGACAAGTGAAATAAAGATCTAAATGAATGCCACAGCCAGTTATGCAAGTAGGACAAAACAGAACAAACTAAGATGCTAGTTCTAAATCCTGACACTTTCTATTTACTCAAAATAAGTCAGCTTTCATGAAGAAATACTAGATACTGAAAATACTGAAAGAAAGAGGAAAAAAGTCAGCGTAGCGTCCTCCAGTTTGTGCAAGGGAGACCTCACAATGTCCTCAGTACAGAATCGGTGTCAGAATGGAGAGAAGTTGTGTTTTCTACATAGAGGAAAAGCTCCAGAAATTTCAGACGCTTTTTCTTAAGTGTGTCCCTGTGGAACAAAAGACACCTTGCAGAACACAAACAGCATCTCAGAAGAAAGGAAAAGAGAGAGACCAATCCTCTACAGGATCCATATTTAAGAAGCAAGGCAGAACTGGCCAGGTTCATCCAAATTAAAACAACAGAATCAATCCATCACCTCACTCACTTACAATAGGAAATACAAAACCCAACATTTAGTATCTTCCACACTACATTCACCTCCACTTCTAAGTACAGTCTTAGAAAAATCAAGTAAAGGATTTACCAATAAAACCATAAAATAACATACCTCAAGTAAATATGTCAAGGAGTATGGTAAAAGATTCCTCACAGTCAGTGTAGGGTGAAGGTGGATAATGTAGGCAGGATCCCACTCCTTTCCATAAGGTGAAATAAAATTTAGTTCATCAGGTACAGCTGTTGAGCTGATTATTAGAGGTAAGAAGTTTGTCTCGACAGCTGGGCACTGTAACAAGCACTTGACTTCGTTGCTCCTGTGTAGCTCTTCCCTCCAGGCAATGTAAGTTGTGGACTCTTTAAACTGACCCTCAAACACTCCTGTTGGTCTAACATATAGATGAGACCTATGGGAAGAAGACAGGTAATGGTACACAATAGCTCGCCGTGGACAGCCAACCTCATCCATTTTAAAGGAATTGCAGACATCCCAAAGGGCTTCTGCAGCATACTAATTACCTAATAAAGGTAGCATTTTGCTTTTTTAGCCCAGTCAGGAAGAGTTTCAAGTGCAGATTTAAGCTTCCACACTAATGCTGCATTTGCACATTAGTCTCACACAGATTAGCCCCACACAACAGAGACAGCATACCTGTAGGAATGTAAAGGAACATGAAATTCCTCTTCTGGCTTGGATATGCCAATTGGCTCCAGCGACTTGGACTCTCTAACCAGTTTATAGATTATAAATGGGATAGAAAAATGGTTCTTGATCTAGGATCAAAATGCAAAATTTTTGTTACACCTCTATGGTACGAATTTCTGAAGGAAAAATTATCAATACCAGCAAGGAAAAAAACCCCATTAGTAGAATTAATTAAACTCCTCTGAAAAACAGACTTCTATGTGTCTTAGTAAGAAATACAATTCTAAGGATAACAATATGCAAGCATATGGAAAACTATGTACTTCTACATTCCATTAATTGAAAAAAATGCTTAAAATACCAGGTCACATAAAAAGTACATATTCCAACCTCAGCATTGAGGATACGAGGAAGCCTAAAGTTAAAAGTAAAAACAAGATGTGCCATTTAACAGGCATACACACACAACAGAATACAGATTAAAATTCTTGTAACACAGTAAAATTCTTAATAATTTGTGTTAAGTATGATCTCAAAAAAAATGCAGTAAAGAAGAAAAGCAAAGTCACTCAGAGAGAAGCACTTCTTTCAGGCTTTTGGTTTGTTTGGTAGTTTTTTTACCTGCAGAGGAGATCGTAGAGTAATAACCTTATTTCCTTCTGTAGCATCTATCTGTACAACAACCGAGTCTGAACTATCATCAAGAAGTTTTCTTATGCTGTACAGACGTCGACCTGGTTTGGCTATGGGAATGTTTACCACTTCTTTATATCCTTGAAGTTCTAATTCATAAAAATATACAAAAGTCTTAATTAGGCAAAGCAAATCACATCACCATTTTCTATTTGAACAATATTCAGTTTCTCTAAACTCAGCAACAACCAAGATCAAAGCACTCTCTCGCAAAAGCACCTTGAAATGGTATTTGAGCACCACTGAAGGAAAGCTTTAAGATCAGAATACTCTTGAAGACCGTAACTTTAGAATATGATTTATACATGGCACAATAAATACACCAAAGGTATTTGTTGGGTGAATTAACAAAATGCAACACAAAACATGATCTTTGTATCACAGCTGAGTATCTTCACGTGGGATTGGATGGAAAGGTAAAAACCAGAAGATAATGTATTAGTTGATATTATATCCTATTTTCCTAGGACTATTTTCTGTCAAAGCACAAAACACAGAACAATCATAACTGCTCTCAAGTAACCGAGTAACTACAGAACACCCAATGATAGTAGGGATATGAGAAATGAAGATCCTGCTTAACAGGAGTTGGAACACATAGGGGGACTGTAAGATGGACCATCAATAAATCCATCAGAATGCCTTCCATTTATTCCAAAGGGCAAGAAAAAAAGATTGTACTTCTCACTCTCTGAAAAACTAGACAGAAGGAATTTTACATCTTTAAGAATTCCAGTAACTGGCTTAATTTATTTTCGTTACCATCAGTATTCAAAAGTAGTTTCAACACAATGTACTTCACCTGAATTCTGATCACATTGAATTTAACCATGTTCACCCCCCCATGTTCCCATTCTCAACATGTCATAATGCACAGTATTCCCTTGTGTAATACCTAAATTTAAAGCGAAGATGCTGCTTTCTTGTCGGTGCAATGCAGACAACTTTCCTCTTTGGGGCGTTTCAAAAATAGAGTATTCCAGTTCCATGCTCTGACCAATATCTACATCATTCACATTTTCTTTTTCAACTGAACCAACTATCCGAAAATTGGAGCTAGGAACCACTTTGAGAGGAACACCTAGGGCATTTTTCACTATGAAAGGTGCTGTCTCTTTAAAGGAATAGTCAAACGTGGATGCAGTCCCTTCTGAAAATGCCTGTAATTAACAACATATATAATACATTATACATAAATAGCCACAATAACATATATAAATAAAGGCTTTAAAAGACAGTTCCCAGCAGCTACCAGCTTGAAGAAATAAGGTAAAAAAGTATATAGCAATACTATGCTTTGTATAGTAGTAGTTCAGGGAAGTAAAGGTTACTTTCAGAAAATTTCATTAATATTCTATGATTTGCAGCAAAAGTTGATGCTACAATTAGCATTCATGCTACTCACACAGAATTTTTTTTTACAGATGTTTGGTTGTAAGAGAAAAGTAAGATCTAGAACGTAGAAGTCCCAAGCACATTCACCATGTACATATTTCATATTCAACCACAACTTATGCTTACAAACTTTTGTTTGATTATACAGAAGCCATGGTAACTGACTGCCAATACAGACTTACAGTATAAGCAAGCACTAATTTAGAGAATCATTGCTCATTTAGAATTAAAAAATAAAAAGGAGTAAGTCCATATTCTGTAAAACCAAATTGATTTCCTAACTAAAATTTCTTCTCCCCATAAAAAGTGGTGAAAAAAAGCCTAGGACATTCATAAATATACCAACTATCTCAAGAAAAATAGGGAAAAATATTTTTAACACACTAGACATTCTACTTATACAGTTTGAAGGCCAATCTTAAAACACAAACTTGTCATAGTATTCTACTAAGGAGAAAAGACAGAAAGGAAGTAATTTTCTCTTTTAATATTTCAGAAAAAGGATTGTAGAAAATAGTTGTGTTTATTGGAGGGTTTTATTTTGATTAAGCCTGCTTGGAAGGCTGTTACTGAAGCCCTGCATAAGCACAATTTTTCTTCGAACACAGAAATGGCTTATTTCAAAAGCCTGCACCAGCTTTTTGTTAAACCTAAAGGACTTATCAGAGTAAAACTCCGCAGCTCTGCTAGATAACATTTGGCTTGTAACTGGCAGCACAGAAAGTTCTTTTAAAAAGTAAAATCAAAACTTCCTACAAAACTGCATAATCGGTCACCTTCTGCCTGTCAGGATTACCTTGGCTAAATTACTGAAAACAGCAAGACAACATTTGGATATTGTTATATTCATTGTATCCTTCGAAGAGATGTTAACTGCAGTTTGTGGCTCAGGAAGAACAATGAAATCATCTCCAGGCATCAAACTTCTCTCTTGGACAGGGTTAGTCTTCATCTAAAACACAAATGTCATTAAGCAGTTATGAACACATAGCTCACTTTCTCCTGTGTTACAACAGGAAAAAACCTGACCTACACTGAACAATTCCACCAAGCAAAGGAAAAGCTACTTCATCTTGTAAATTTCAGACACCTTACACACAAACACAGAAATTTTATATCAACAGTGAAAACAAGTTAATTTCCTTCCTCTCTGTGTGTGCAATTACACACTAAATTTTGCCTGTGCAATGGACAGTTTATTCAGAAAAAAGTCTAAAGACTGATGTTTTTTCAGGTGAAATCGCTCCCTCAAAAGCAACAGTATTCAGAAGGTCAGTGTTCTGTCACACAAAATTTTTAAGAAATAGCTAACTATCCAAACTATTTCACATAGTTTTAAGTATGTTTACATACTTCCATCTTTAAACTCCATTGCTTCCTTCCTCCTTCAATTCGTTCAATAAGCGGCTCCCACGCTGCATAGTTTTCATTGTAATAATGAATCTAAAGAAAGAATAAAAATTAAATAAGGCATCTAAAAATAAAGGACTGAGTTCCTTCCAATAGCATTTAGTAGAGAAAAAAATAAATAAGAAAACAATCTTCACTTTTTGGAGGTCTAGCATTAATTTTTAATAGCTTCAAAAACTAATACACAGAAGTATAATATATCATACATCTTTCCTAAGTGACAACATTTTTGAAGAACTGATTGTCTGGTTTGCTTTTAGAGCAGCCAGACAGCCTGGTAACTCCCCATCTCTTTGACACCTTCACTTAATATAATGCAGTCTCTATCCTCTCCTACACTATTTGAAAAAATGACTTTGAGATCAAAAACCTCAACGCCTCAAGGACTTCATTGTGTTATGAAATAACAATTAGTTCTGAGTAAACTTTAGTCTGAATCTGGTCGGCTGGAATAACTCATCTAACTCATCGACTACACCGAGTTCTTACTTCCCTTCAGCCACTGCAAATCTGAACAGAAGCTGTGGATCAAGTAGCTCTGGATGTTCCCTTTCAGCTATTTTCCTCATCCTTCCCCGCTTCGGGAGCCACAGTGCCTTCCCCCAGTTGTACAAGATCAGGCCTGTATCTTCCACACTCTATGAGGATATGCACATGCAGCAGTGAAAGGCTACTGTGTATTCGGTACAGAACAGAGTATAAGGCACATTTGGTGAACTGACAAAATAGAACTGCGACGTAGTTAACCTATTGCCCAGAGCAACTGCACATCTGGTTGTATGAAACTTTAACGTGCTGCCTCCCTAAGAGACTTATACCATATTGGAATTTACCATATCTTGGGGGAAAGAGTTGCAATAGGTGGCAAAACAAATACGGTGTCGTTACAACCCAAGATGCAAAGAAGATTTTGAGAAAACAGTGCAAATTCTATCTTACCAATAAACACAATGTTAGGGAAATGAAAAAAGGTGGGCAATATGAATTAAATACAAATATTCAACTAGGCCAAGCTCATTGTTCATACAGCAAAAAGTGAACATGCAAAAATAACAGAGAAACAGAGAGGACTAGATTATTCCACAGTAGCAATTGCCATTAAAGTCTACTATTGATTGCAAAGCATTTGTAAAAAAACACTTTTTGCTTCATACTTGCCTGACTACTAAAGAACCCCTAAGAGAATTACAATTTAAACTTATTATTAATTTAGCACATGGAAAGTGCACTAAGAAGTTACTTGTACATTATGAAATGTGCCGAAGTATTTCAAACTGCTAAGAATTTGATTCTACATACCTCTAGTGACATATCAGCAGTGATCTCCATCAGCGAGGACCAGTTTTGAAGGACACCTGTAAACCCAGATTCTACTAACAATAAAGGAACAGTACGATGTCCCAGACCACATTCCAAGGTGATCTGAACTGATTTCACTACTATGTCAAATTTCTCTTGTTTCAGAACATGTTCACGGTCCTTAAAACTTTCTGTTGCTTCTGTGGCTACATCAACACCAAGAAACCAAGCACTGCACTCATCAATAGGCTTCACTTGCCACAAGTTCTCAGGAACTTCAGTTGGTCCTCTGGAATCCTCCTCTGTTGTTTTGGGTTTTATGGCAGCCATAATGGTCACCATAGTATTCAGAATTATCGGTGAGATCTTGAACAAAGAAAAAAAACCCAAAAAATGCTTTTAAAACTCATTAACATACAAAATATATGATAAATGGAAACGACAAATAATTCTTGGCTTCCTTGTACAGGTACACAGCATTAAAGACCCTTATTAAGAAATGCAACTTAAATTCTAAGATAAAGAAACAGAATCCACTCAGAATTCTTCTTATTTTCCTTTCCTACAAAGTTCCCCAATTTCTCAGGTACACATCATTAAAGACCCTTATTAAGAAATGCAACTTAAATTCTAAGATAAAGACACAGAATCCACTCAGAGTTCCCCAGTTCCCCCCTCACAATCCCACAAGCTCTAGAAAAAAATTCTCAGATTGGAATTTTACTTTTACCGATACATGGTACTCTCATAACAGCAGTCAATATCAACATTTTCCCCTACTACTTAGTTAAACATGAATTTATTTCTAAGGTCTTTGAGGCGTTCAGAAAAGCATGTTTGCAGAGTTCTGTACAGCACCATTTCAATTAGCAGTACAGCACATCTGTCAAAAGCTTTATGCTTTAGGAGCAAGGTACTACTGCTCGCAGTTTGAGATTTCACCACTAACACCTTTTCAGATCACAAACGCAAATTTGTGACCTTTTAATAGGAGAATTAACAAATTCTATTCCGAAAGACCTTTACTGTAGACAAATATTAATTTACCTATTAAGAACAAAGTATTTTACATTGTATGTCATTTTAGAACCTTTTCAGATCACAAACGCAAATTTGTGACCTTTTAATAGGAGAATTAACAAATTCTATTCCGAAAGACCTTTACTGTAGACAAATATTAATTTACCTATTAAGAACAAAGTATTTTACATTGTATGTCATTTTAGAAAGCATGTTAACAGCCTTAAATTTACACAGTTGTGTGCATGCTCCTGCTTATAGGTATCTCTGAGGAGAAAAACAGGGGGTGGTGGCAGGGGGAAGAGTTGTTTCATAAATGTGGAAAGAACTCATAGGTGGAATCCTAGTATCTTAAGTATTTAAATTAATCCTTTTTTTGCCAAGCATTTGTCAAAACAAGGAACATGTAATGATTTTTTCCGAAACAGAGCAGCTCTAAAAAGGATAAACACCTATTTTGGGGATTAAACTGACAGGGAAAATGGAAGTTTTAAATAGTAGTATCTAACCAAAAAAAAACCAAAACAAGCTACACCTTTAGAAACACACCTGGTCTTCCAAAGATCTTACCTTTATAATGAGTTCTTCTATTGTTACTGCCATAGTTTGTAACCCTGAGACATGCACCAGATTTTCCATAACTAACGAACATGGCCGTAACACCTGAGTGAAAAAAAAAAAAAAAGAAATTTGTTTATTAAGAGAATTCCTGGAATCTAACTTTTCCAAATGGTATAGTACTTTTTAATCTAATGTTTCAGAGTAACAGCATTCTTTCCATAGCCAACTAAAGGACACACCTGCCAACAGTTCTCATGACTTTTTTCATTATGAAAAGCAAGGTTTCTTACCGTAGTAACACTCTTGTCTTGTTTTTCTTTGAGAAAGGCACAGGCCAACACTTTGAAACCCTGCACTTGAGCGGTCATCTTTTGTGCGAGCTTTCCAGATGTCAGAGAAAAGTCACATTGGAAGGAAACTTTTAAGGCAGGGGCATCAGCATTGGTCAAATTAGCAACAAATACAATTTCTGGATCCATGATAACAGCTTTTACTGTCATATTTGTCATTTCTGTGAAAATAATATAAAAGGTTTGAAGGCATTATTACGTACATAATATCTAAACCATGCATAAAAATTACTATGTAATTTTAGAGGTACAAATTTAACGAATAATGTCTCAGTGTTTATGGGAATACTTTGCTGGAACTGAATATGACAGTGTCCAGAGATCAGCAGCAAACTGGTCAGAAGTTTTATTTTGAAGGAACTATTTCAGTAGTGTAAAAAGACAGTGAACCTAAGCACTGGCTCTACAAAGCCAAGTTGGAAATAGTTATCTTCTGGCTCAATACTAAAGTAACTAACTTCTTTAGAGTTAAGGTTTTCTAATTTAACTCAAATTAGCAATATACAATTTCTTGTCTGAATACTCACTCAGTTTCCAAACAGAGAGAATCATATTGTATTTATCTCATTTAAAAGCAAGACCTAGTGATGGATCAAGTCACTGATTCTCAGTGCTAGGCAGCAGGGTGGTGTGTGACCCCCCCTGCACACTAGGACTCATCATATGGGTTACTCATGCCTAACACTTGATAGAAATCCCAGAATATCACACCCATGCAATGGAACAGGTGCCAAATTGCATCATGGCTTGCAGCCAGCCAAACATTTGGGTAGACCTCAGCAACCCTGCAAATGTAATTCTTCTGGAGTGTGTACCATCTCTTTCCCATCCCAGGACTTCTGCATAGTCCAACAAGGGAAGAGGAAAGGAAGTGAATTGCTAGCATCACTGGGGCACTTCATGAAACCTAAGGTTCACTCCTAGCACTCTGTCAAGTTTTCCAAAAGAAGAGCCACACAACCCACAGCTTAGGTCTGACTTGAACTCAGGCAAGCCTAGCAATCACTTAAGAACAACCACAAAAAAAAAAAA